CGTGATCGCGGCACAACCGCGGCGTAAACACGTCACGCCGGCCATGCGGCGGTGCAACCGCGGCGTGAACACGTCACGCTGCCCAGATCACGGTACAACCGCGGCATAAACACGTCACGCTGGCCAGACCACGGCACAAGCACGGCATGAACACGCCACGCTGGCCAGACCACGGCACAAGCGCGGTATGAACACGTCACGCTGGCCAGACCACGGCACAAGCACGGCATGAACACGCCACGCTGGCCAGACCACGGCACAAGCGCGGTATGAACACGTCACGCTGGCCAGACCACGGTACAAGCACGGCATGAACACGCCACGCTGGCCAGACCACGGCACAAGCGCGGCGTGAACACGTAACGCTGTCCAGATCACGGTACAACCGCGGCATGAACACGTCATGCTGGCCAGACCACGGTACAGGCGCGGCATGAACACGTCACGCTGGTCAGATTGCGGTACAAGCACGGCATGAACACGCCACGCTGGCCAGACCACGGCACAAGCGCGGTATGAACACGTCACGCTGGCCAGACCACGGTACAACCGCGGCATGAACACGTCATGCTGGCCAGACCACGGTACAGGCGCGGCATGAACACGTCACGCTGGTCAGATTGCGGTACAACCGCGGCGTGAACGCGTCACGCTGGTCAACCTCAACGCGTTCGTAGAGCGGGCGTGTGACCCGACGTCAGTATCGGAGCAGCGCGCAGCTGAACACGTGAACAAAGGGCCGGGCCCGCTCGATAGCACGTGCGGGCCGGTGGCGTGGCGGGGGCGCCGGCCTCCCTGATACGGACCAGCTGACCCGACGCGTCACGACGCGCGACATGACTCAGCCGGGCGAGACCAGGGTCACGCCGCCGCCGCATCTGGGAGCGGCGCGGCGGCGCAGTTGGGACCGTCAGCTGGCGGCAGGTCAGCGGCCCGGCCAGGGGGCGAGCAGCCCATGGCGCCGCGGTCGATCGGCCACCGCCGCCGCCGCCGCAGAGGTGCGCCGCCGCCCCGGCCCCACCGTCCTGGCCCCGCTCCGACGTCGGTCTGGCCCAGGTGCGCGCGCGCAGCCGACACAGCGGCAAAAACAACGACGCGCCGCCGGAATCGGAACAAAGGGAACGAGAAGAAATATGGGGGATCGAAGGACACGACACGCCGCGTTAGGCAGCGTCCGTTGTCCTTTCGTGTTGGCCCGCGCTGGGACGCGGTGACGTGAGCGGAGATGTTACCGACTCGTTATATTGGTTCGTTTCATTCCAACCGTTGTGTGTATTGATCGCACATCACTTCAGCGGCCCTGAGGAGATGCGCTGCTGTTGGATGGCATGACGCGCTGAACTGCGTGAGATGCGAGCCGCCGGTCTCCACGGTGGCTCCCAGAGAGGCCATGTGGCCAGTGCCAGCGCGACGGCCCCGCTCGCGTCCGCTCTGACAGACGGGTGCACCGGCGGCCGGCCGCGGGACGCGACTCAGCCCGTCGCCGCGGCCTTGACGGCCGCCGCGTCCCCGGCCTGGACCGCTCGCCGTCTGCTCGGTGCTGGCGGCGGCGCTGCCACGGGTCGGCTGCCCTGCTGCGGACGAATGGTGGTCCGTCACACGGGACTGGCTTCAGCTCGGGCCTGACCTACCGCAGAGACCCGGAGTCGTCATCGTCATTGGGGCTTCGCGAGGCAGTCAGCTGCTGAGGCGCTATATAGCGCCGCCTGGCTCTCACCCTGGCAGGAAGGTGTGGCACCGCGGGGAACCGAGCCCACACTGTACCGTACTGTACTGCAGCGACTTGGGCGGGTCGCTCCACTTACAGAGAACACTCCGCGCCGCGCTGAGCGTGGGTTTTGCGTAGCATTTCCTTGTAGTTGAGGTGCAGCCGTTGATCTTATCTAGCTGCCCGAGTTGCCGGTTGAGTTGACGTCGGCACCGTCTGCAAGCTGGGTGACCGTGCGGCTGCCTGCGGGCGCCAGAGTGCGTGCAGAGGTGGCATGCGGCGCTCAGAGGTCAAACAGATCTAAACAAGCCGACCTCAGTCCACGAACGCAGCAAGTTTATCGTTGTCAGCCGCCAGATGACGTGGGCGAGAGGATGCTCTGTGTTGATGCGGCGATAGGCTCACGAAAAAGGATTTGTAGTCTTCGTCTGTGGATTCGCGGAGTCCAAATCATGGTCCTGAGAATTCATAGGCAAATCAAGCACAACCATAATGTGATATCTTTTTTTCTGTTGCATGGCCCAGATTTCATGGCTTGAAGCATCTGCTTTGTCCTGTGTTTTACACCGATGCGCTCGCATTTGATTGATAGGCGGCGCTGATCTCAATAACGATTATGTGCCTTCGAGGCCATGATATTCGGCGTCCGACAAAGAAATGGTTTCCTATCACCCGTCATGACTGAGCGCCTATCCGACATGACGAAAATAATGACTGTAAAATGGCATGCAAGCTGCACTGTCTAGCTGAGGTGCGGCACCCACCACATGGTAAGGCCGTCCGTCCATTGTCGTCAGCCAGGGACGGCGGGCGGCGTCCGACCGACGGCGTGTCCCAGGGCTGACTGCGAGCGGCGTCATGTTGCCGCGTCCGACCGACGGCGTGTCCCAGGGCTGACTGTGGGCGGTGTCATGTTGCCGTGTCCGACCGGCGGCGTGTCCCAGGGGTGACTGTTAGCGGCATCATGTTGCCGCGTCCGACCGACGGCGTGTCCCAGGGCTGACTGTGGGCGCTGTCATGTTGCCGCGTCCGACCGACGGCGTGTCCCAGGGCTGACTGTTAGCGGCGTCATGTTGCCGCGTCCGACCGACAGCGTGTGCCAGAGCTGACTGTTAGCGGCGTCATGTTGCCGCGTCCGACCGACGGCGTGTCCCAGGGCTAACCGTTGGCGGCGTCATGCTGCCGCGTGCGGCTAACACGTGTTGCAGGGCTGATGGCAGAGCCGCCGCCCTCACCGGCCATTTATGGCGGACCCGAATCTGCTCTCCGCTGCTTGTTAAGGTGCCGCACCCGCCGCAGCGGTCCCAGCAGCCCGGAGCGGCTGCAGCGGGGACCGCTGCTCTGGCGCCGGGCAGCCGGTCCCCGCCCCGCCGATCACGCGGCGCCCGGCGCCCGGGGCGTGATGGCGCGGCAGTAGCCGAGCTTGCCGTCCTGGGCGCCGCCGCCGCCCTGCAGCTGCGCCGTGGACCGGTCTGACCCACGGCGAGGCGGCGCACAGTGCGGCCCGTGCCATGCGTCCAGCCCGAGCCGTCACGAGCAGCTCCGGGGGCTGGGTCGGAGGCCGGACCGGTCAGCGTGCGGCGTGTGGCACAGGACGGGGGCGCTGGGCAGCCTGGTCTACTTCGCTGGGTGGTGGGAACGGGCGTGACGCGCTGTAAAGGGGTCGAGGCTCCTGACGATGGCGTGCGAGGTATTCAGGCTCCGATAGGCTGTGTGCGGGGTAAGCTTGTTGATACAGACCGAGGTCAGGTATCAGTAGCAATGGTTCATTGAGCCGGCCTCGTGCGTAGTTTGGTCGCGTTTTGTTTTGGATTGGTGTCACCCGCGGCTGCTTAACGTGTGTTGTCACCCCTCTGTTGACATCGTGCCAGCCGGCGTTTCACAACAGACCTCTGGACTTCCTCAGAGCTGCGGGCCGGTCTCAAGATCAAGGCCGGCCGGGACTAGGGACGTTTTTTGCCGAGTCTGTCCGAGCGCAACCAGGCCGTGCTGGACAGGCAGCGACGCCGCGCCAGATAGCCCTGAGCCGGACCAGACTGCCCGGGGAGGGCGGGAGGGGACCAGAGACGAGAGGACAGGGTGAGGGAGAGGAGGGCGGCGCTGGGAGCAAGGGATGGGACGGAGGCAGCGCTGCCGATCTGTGCACGAGCCTCGGGCCGGCCCTGTGGCCCGTGGGCGCTGCCACCGCCGTGCCGCGATGTCGGGCTGTGGTCTGCCCACGCAGTCGTGCCGTGCAGGGCCTGCATCTTGTTGTGTCAGGCGTTTCCGAAAGTGGCCGCGGATGTCCCGTGCGTGTCACGGGCGGCCGGAGCCAACCGCACGCTCTGGGCGGCCACGAGGCCCGTTGAGGTCTGGTTGCCGACTCTCAAGGTCTCAGCGAATTTGGATTGGTAGCCGACTCCGCTTAAACGAGCCCGCTGACTGATCCCGCTCGGCAGACATGCTCTGCACGTAATTCTCCATCTACAGTCGGTCTCGTAGCGACAATGCCGAGCATCAGCCGGCCGGGCTGCACGTGCGGTCCGCCCCCGGTCGGTCCGGGAGGCCTCCGGGCAGCCAAAACCAGCCGTGTGCTGGATTTCAGGCGGTCTGGCGTTACGTCATGCCGTTGTTTCCGCGGTTGTGCGCCTATGTGCTGGTCCTGTTGGCTTTGCTTCCGCTTCTGTATGTTTCGCGGGGCGCATGGGATCCGCAGCATTAACTTAAAATGTCATCATAGCCGTGAAATGATGTAAAGATGCAACGAAAATTACAATGTGACGAAACACCATTTCAACGTAAGCCTCGCTAACTCAGCCCAAAACCGTGAACATGCCCATTGTCGCAGCTCGCTTTCCTACATGCAGCAGTCCTATCCAGATGCTGCAATGGTCGACTGGCTGCCCGGGATGCAATGCTTATAAACTGTTTGCCTTTCGCCCAGATAAATAGAGCCGGTAGCAACCGAGACATTCCGAGCCATCCCTCAATGCCACTCCGACACTGCGTGCCAGCGTGACCCCGTGCCGGCGCCATAATCCGGAGGGCAACAGGCAATGCACCCGCACTGCGCCCGACGAGGCAGGACACAGCACTGCAACGAGGCGGTCCGCCTAACGACGCGTCTCAGGTTACAGGTGGTACCCAGGCGTGTCCCATTGTGATGCCAGCCAGTGTGCTCGCCTGCGGCCAGACCTTTGTCTGGCTCGGCGGACGTTTACCACACGCTGCTGGCAGGGCTGTGTGCCGTAGGAAGGCTGTGAGCTGTGCTCACGCAGCATGTTCGTGACGTTGCTCGTCTCTGTACCGACAGGCCCAAGTCGCCGCCCAACAGTCCCAATCCGGAGTTTGCCACCGATCTGGAGGAGCTGCGCGACTACTACCTGAATAAGGTGAGCCGGCAGGGCGCTGAGGAGCCCGGCTCGGAGCGGGCCTCAGGGCGGAGGTGATGACCAGAAGAGCCAGATAGGGCTGGTCGTGCCGGAGAGCGGGGACTGACGCTAGGTTCGGCGCTGAGGGGCGCTGAGGGGCCCGGCTCGCAGCGGGCCTCAGGGCGGAGGTGATGAGCGGAGGAGTCAGACAGGGCTGGTCGTGCCGGGGAGCGGGGACTGGCGCTGGGGTCGGCGCTGAGGGGCGCTGAGGGGCCCGGCTCGCAGCGGGCCTCAGGGCGGAGGTGATGACCGGAAGAGCCAGATAGGGCTGGTCGTGCCGGGGAGCGGGGACTGACGCTGGGTTCGGCGCTGAGGGGCGCTGAGGGGCCCGGCTCGCAGCGGGCCTCAGGGCGGAGGTGATAAGCGGAGGAGTCAGACAGGGCTGGTCGTGCCGGGGAGCGGGGACTGGCGCTGGGGTCGGCGCTGAGGGGCCCGACTCGGAGCGGGCCTCAGGGCGGAGGTGATGACCAGAGGAGCCAGACAGGGCTGGTCGTGCCGGGGAGCGGGGACTGACGCTGGGTTCGGCGCTGAGGGGCCCGGCTCGCAGCGGGCCTCAGGGCGGAGGTGATGAGCGGAGGAGTCAGACAGGGCTGGTCGTGCCGGGGAGCGGGGACTGACGCTGGGATCGGCGCTGAGGGGCGCTGAGGGGCCCGGCTCGGAGCGGGCCTCAGGGCGGAGGTGACGACCAGAAGAGCCAGACAGGGCTGGTCGTGCCGGGGAGCGGGGACTGACGCTGGGATCGGCGCTGAGGGGCGCTGAGGGGTCCGGCTCGGAGCGGACCTCAGGGCGGAGGTGATGACCAAAGGAGCTAGACAGGGCTGGTCGTGCCGGGGAGCGGGGACTGACGCTGGGGTCGGCGCTGAGGGGCCCGGCTCGGAGCGGGCCTCAGGGCGGGGGTGATGACCAGAAGAGCCAGACAGGGCTGGTCGTGCCGGGAAGTGGGGACTGACGCTGGGTTCGGCGCAGAGGGGCGCTGGGGGGGGGGGGGGGGGGGGGGGGGGGGGGGGGGGGGGGGGGGGGGGGGGGGGGGGGGGGCGCTGAGGGGCCCGGCTCGCAGCGGGCCTCAGGGCGGGGGTGATGACCAGAGGAGCTAGACAGGGCTGGTCGTGTCGGGGAGCGGGGACTGACTCTGGGGTCGGCGCGGAGGGGCGCTGAGGGGCCCGGCTCGGAGCGGGCCTCAGGGCGAGGGTGATGACCAGAAGAGCTAGACAGGGCTGGTCGTGCCGGGGAGCGGGGACTGACGCTGGGGTCGGCGCTGAGGGGCCCGGCTCGGAGCGGGCCTCAGGGCGGGGGTGATGACCAGAGGAGCTAGACAGGGCTGGTCGTGCCGGGAAACGGGGACTGACGCTGGGTTCGGCGCTGAGGGGCCCGGCTCGGAGCGGGCCTCAGGGCGGGGGTGATGACCAGAGGAGCTAAACAGGGCTGGTCGTGCCGGGAAACGGGGACTGACGCTGGGTTCGGCGCTGAGGGGTCCGGCTCGGAGCGGGCCTCAGGGCGGGGGTGATGACCAAAGGAGCTAGACAGGGCTGGTCGTGTTGGGGAGCGCGGGACCGAGGCCGGTCGTTGGACCCTCACGGTAGTCGTTACCTTTGCCGCGCAGCCGAGGGGCAGGCGTGTCGCCAGGCCGGTGGCCGGGGAACTCTTGGAACTTTGGCGGCATCGTGACAGGGCGCCTGGCTTCGGACAGACTTTCGGTCCAGAAGAAATCAGGCCCTCTGGTGTCAGCCGTGATGTCGTCACCCCGCCAGTATATCAATGTCCAATCAAATCATCATCAAACCATCATGTTTTCCAACCCATCATTCATTTCACCCTACAGCTGATTGCTCAACTGGTGGAAGCTGCACGCAATCACGCAGACAAGCATGCGTGCACCACACACACACACACACACACACATGCGCGCGCGTCAGTGTTCGCTGTCGCATACCAAGTAAACAATCGTCACTGAGGCGCCGGGTTTCCAAGGACCAAACAACTGGCTGCCGGGCCACGGGTGACCTGACCGCAGGCAGGTGGCAGACGCCAGACGGTTTGTCAGGGGCCGTGCGTTGGAGCGGCCTTTGAGAGCGGTGTCGGGAGGTGATGGGTGGGCGCGGGCCGGCCCAGCCAGCGGGCGGGCGTACAGGACGGACCAGCCAGCGGGCGGGCGTACAGGACGACCCAGCCAGCGGGCGGGCGTGCAGGACGACCCAGCCAGCGGGCGGGCGTGCAGGACGACCCAGCCAGCGGGCGAGCGTACAGGACGACCCAGCCGGCCGGCGGGCGTATAGGACAGACCAGGCAGCGGGCGAGCGTGCAGGACGGGCCAGCCAGCGGGCGGGCGTACAGGACGGCCCAGCGAACGAGCTGGCGTACAGGACGGACCAGCCAGCGGGCGGGCGTAAGGACGGGCCAGCCAGCGGTCAGCTGCGGTAGGTCTTGTGGGTGCGCCAGTTCCGCCTGGTCCCGTCACTGCCGTAACGGCCCGTGAGCCGACCTTGGGTGGGAGGGGCGGCGCGGGGCCGACCGGCCGGGCGGCGAGGCCGGCCCGAGTCCGCTGCCGCCCGGCTCTCTGCCCGGCTCTCCGCCCGCCTAACGGCAACGAGCGAGGTGTTCGGGATTACCGATCCAGAGCATCAGCACTGACGTCGTCATCGAAGCGTTGCATCACGTTCGGTGAATGGGGTTGGTCGTGGGCAGACCCGAGTCGCCCCGGCCTCACCAGGAAGTGCATCAGAGGTCCTTGCATCGGGCGTAGAGCCGAACCCTGGGGAACACGCTTCGGGGGCTCGTTGTCGATTGCCAAATATTGAACCGCTCGTTAGTTGTGTGCTCTTCTTGATATCTCACTGCGCGAGATACGATGGGACAACTTCAAGGACGATTGTGTAAATTTCCGTTGTGTTTGCCTGAATCAAACAGTTTTCTTTATTCGCTCAGGCTATCTGTTACGGTAGGTCAGCTACAGCCAGCAGGGCGTGAGTGGACATGTTGCAATCTGGTTGAAGCAGTCACTTGAGTAGATGGATAGAGTGGAGAAGTTTCACGCTTTTGGAAGGCTAGATGTTTGGGAACGTCTAATACACAATTCAGTGGTATTTTGCGTGAAATTGGCCCAGAGCCCCTGCTGTTTCTCCTCCAGTCATTCTAGTAAGGTCAGCCGCTGTTTTGAAAACGTTTCTGCAACACGGAACAGTCTGATTTTAACAAGGTCAGCCTCAGTTTGGAAAGCTTCTCTGTTGCAGCTGAGTGGTTTGACGGCGTGGTTTGCCCGCCGTCTGCAGGAGGCGGCGGCGGCGGCGCCCGGCTGGAGCGGACCGACGGGTCGCCCATCACCTCTTTGGCTTTGATAGCTATCGTTGCATCAGCTGCGGCGGACGGTGACAAACGGGTTGCATCATGCGGCATGGGCGCGTTCTTTTCGTTTGCTGGTCCCGTTTGGTCGTTGTCCAAGCCTTCGCGGTAAGGCGGGTGACCGCCGGCTGGTCTCCTCCCAGCGTTCGGCCTCCGGCGGGGCTTTGTGTGCGAGATAGCGGCCGGGGCGGGGCCGCTCGAAGCCGGATGCCCTGCGTCGCAGACGACTGACACGCACTTGGCCGGGCGGCTGCGGTGACGCCGACGCGCTGACCAGGATCGGCGGTCCCCTATCAGGCCGGTCGGTGCCCTCAGGTGTCGGCAGATGCGCACGGATGTCACACTGCATTGCAGAGCAGCTGTGGCGGCGCAAATAATCGTGCGATAACTGATGTGTGGGATGGTGAAAGAGGCGAAACAAGTGCTTAAAGGGACCAATTGTCTGCTGTGTTTGACAGGACGGCCTGTGGCCGGGACAGGTGACTTGGAAAATACAGGACGCTCAGACAAAGAGGACGCACAGTGGAATTGTCCAGATTCCAATCAACTGTCGGCGGCTCTGTCCGTGTTTACTTTCGCTGCCGGAATGCCGCAGAGAGCGGCGCGAACCACGCCTGCACTGCCGGCGCTCGTCGTCGGTGACCGGCGGCGTGGCGCTGATGGCCGCAGCGTGGTCCTGGTCGCGCGGACAGAGCCGTCAGTCACCTGGTCTGGCCGCCGGGCTCGGCTCATGTGCGGAGCGCCAGGCCGGGCGTCACGCTGGACCCGGCGTCACCCGGCCGGACCCGGTCCGTCGCCCCGTCCGGCCTGAAGTCCAGCGGGAAGCGTGCCGTCGGTGGTCGGCGGACTCCGAGCCCGACGTCTCTCCCGGGCGCGGTGTTGGCGCCGCGCGGGCCGCTGTCCCGCAGCGTGTCCGCTGCGGCCCGGCGGACGTGCCGTGCCGCGCCGTGCCGTGCGGTCCGCAGCCGCGGCGGTGACAGCCGGAGCGCGCCGCCGCGCCGCTGCGCAGTACGGCGACGCTGACTGCCGAGGCGGCCCCGGCCGGGCTGCGCCACGACGTCTCCATTCATGTGTCAGCGGAGTCGGCAGGTGTTGTGCCGGCGCTGGGCAGCGGCGGCGGCGTCTGCTGAGTTCCGACGGGCTTGGTGGGGGCGGCGGAGGGAAGGGGCGCAGTTGGGAGGGACTGAGGCAGGGTCCACTGGTGCGTCAGTGCTGGCTCACCGGCGCGGCGTTGTCTTGCTGTTCGGCGGACGCAGCGAGCCGTTGGCTGCAGGCCAACAGCTCTGCCTTGTAGATGGCCGAGCGTGTTGCGCCTCGTGCTGTGCGGGGAGGGGCGGCACCACCTCAGGCCGGTCATCGACCCGGTCGGGCCTGCGTAATGTGCGCTGCGTACCACCAACCCGGAGACGGCCCGCGGCGCAGCCGCTTTGCCCCGTCGGACCGCCGGTGTGTCGGCCGCCGCGAGCGTCGGGGCGGGGCGGGGAGGGCCGGGCCGGGACGGCTACTGACTCGGTACCGGTCGGTCCAGCCAGCCCGTCGTCTGCAGGCTCGCCGCGCCCCCGGCTATTCCTGGCCCGGCGGAACGGTTGGTAAGCTGTTCCGCGTCCGCCCCGCCTCACGCCTGCAGACAGCTCGGCCGCCTTGCCGAGCCCGTCGGTCGGCTACATATGTGCCACATCGGCCGCTCCGTTGCCCCTGTCCTGATGACGGGGCCAGTCACCGCCGCAGGGAAAACCATACGGGGCTGGGCTCCGCGAACACGACGCGTGCGCAGCAGTGACAAGCCGCCGTCCACGACTCTGGTGCGAAGTTCGCGGGCCGCGCTCAGTGTGATGCCAGAGGGTGAGCGTAGGTCTGGTTCATGTCTGTGACGCGTGTCTCCGCACGTTCCTGTGAACTTCGTCATGTCGGTGTCAGGCCGGGTGACGCGCCGCGACGCTGTGGCCACGACAGCCGCGCTCACGCCGCCACCCGTGCTGTGGTTTCAGGAGGACTCGCTCGGCCTGGAGAAGAACACGGACTGGGTGTGGGACTGGAGCAGTCGGCCGGACCTCACGCCGCCCAAGTCAGTGAGCTGCGCCTCGCCCGGCGACGGCGCGCACCGTGCGCCGGCTGTGGGCGGCCTCAGCTGTCGAACGCGCGCCAGACGGCGCCTGGCCTTGGCGGCCGGCCGCCGCAGCCGGACGGCTGCCCTGCTTCCCGCGCCCCACGGGCCCGTGCCCGCCCGAACAAACACTGCACGGTCACAATGCACCCCGCCCCTCCCGCCCCCGCCCCCGCCGCCGGACGTCCTGCAGCATCAGCTGGCATTCGGTGCGAGCCGTGTGTCAACAGCGGCAGCCGGGTCACAGGACGTCACCAGCCGGCCGGAGCAGGGCTGGCGTGACGCAGCCGCCGACTGTGGAGTGGAGAGAGGCGGCTGGCGAGTCATGCTAAGCTGGATTGGCTCCATATGCAACATGTGGGGCGGCAAAGACCATGAGTTGCGGTGCACTCTGTGGCCATTTACGACGCTGCCGGTCCGATTGGCTCGGATTGGAGCGGCCGCAGCATCCGCCATTTAACTTGGCGTGCGCTGGCGCTACACTGCCGCTGCAGCCTCTGGGAATGCTCGCCTGCCACGGCCGAGCCCGGCCCGGAGACCCGTGAGTCACGCGGAGCTCCGTCAGCACCAGCTGCACGGTCGTGCTGACCGGTGCCGCCAGTACAGGTCGCTGCCACCTGGGCACGCCGAGAGTCGTGATTTGCTCCCGCTCCCGCGCCACCGCACCGTTTCGTCAGCCAGCGCTGCGACCGGCGCGGCCCGTGATGTGAACGGTACCCCTCGACGGTGGCCCCGTCCCTGCACTGGCACCGTCCCACCCAGCCGATCGGACTCATTGCATCAGCTGCGCACGTGCAGCTGCACCCGTGGACAGGCGCGCTGACTCAGCGACGGTGGCCAGGCGGACGCGGATGCGCTCTGGTCAGACGCTCTGTGTGTATTTTTGCCAGAGATGTCAACATTTTGACTTCTTCGTGATGTTCTGGCGCCGTCGGCAGCACCCCATCTCTGTCCCCCCCCCCCTTCTCTCCCCCCCCCCTCCCCCCGTCTTGACGGCCAGCACTTATTACTTACATAAGTGTTGACCGATCTTCGGAAGAGGTCGGCGTTGCGGTGGTGTTTGCTGAATGTTTCCGATGCCTGTCGGTACTGGCGCTAGTCCCCTTAGCTGCGTCACGCGTCTTGACGGGGGGGGGGGGGGGGTTGCTGTGACCCGGAGACGGCGCGGCGCCCGACCGGAGAGGCTGCCGCCACCGCTGACCCGTCCCTACGCCCTCCTGTCCGCAGAGACTGGCGGTTCCGGCACCCCACTCTGGCCAAGCGCGCCCTCAGCATCCGGAACGCCAAAGTGGGCAACACGGGCATCTTCTCGCGTGGTGTGCTCTGCACCTTCATAGTCACCAACATCCTGTCCCTGCTGCTGGGCGCCGGGCTCGGGTGAGCGGCCGGCCGGGCGGAGCTCGTCCAGGGGTCGGAGGTGCCGCTGCTCTGAGCAAAGGGCCGGGGCGCCACCGGCACTGTGGGAGTCGTTCACCGGCCGGCTTACCACCAGTCATGGTATTAAGTACATGCGCCGATGACTGGCGCAACAGCGGGGTGGACTGACGCCGTGATGTGGGCCTCGTCCGGCTTCCTACCTGCCATTATCACTGGTACCACGTGTCTCCCGAAAAGTGCCGACGGAGAGGGCTTCGCCACGGTGACGGTCTCGGTGAAGGTACGGCCCGCTGTGTGCTGATTGCGAACATGACCGCTGCTCGTGTTGAGCTGACGGTGCTGACGGAACGACACTCCGTCCGCGATTTAGCGTTAAGTCGTGTTACATGACGCAGGAGATCTGACGCTTTTGACCGGTTCTTTACGGATGTAGTTATATCCATGGTGTATAACGCCGGCTTCCCACCTTCGTCCCTGCGGCTGGCAAACAGCCGCAGGGACGGATGTGACTGTAATTTCCTCCTCCCCTTGTCAGTCAGTCCGTTGTGGTATAGATTTCCGTGCCGGTCTGCGTGCCTCACACTAGTGCTGCCGTCCCCAGGTACTGGATGAGCAAGAAGACGGTGGTGCTGCAGCTGGTCTCCCTCGACTAGGTGGACTCGGGGGCCGCGCGTGACGACGCCGGCCCATGTGATATGTGGACGTGACTCGATAGCGGAGGGGCGCGCCGCCGGCCGGGTCAGCCGACCGCGCCAGCTGAGGCGGTCACGGGGCCGGCCACCCGCGCCGCCGAGCCGGGCTCCGTGGCGGACACCGGCCCAGCCGGGCCCCGCAGCGCCGCTAGTGCCGTGCCGACCACGCGATGGGACTCTGTCCCGGAGCCCGGCTCCGGGCGGGGCGCCGACGCGACGTAGCAGGACCTAGCCCGGCTCGGCTCGGCTCGAACGGTCCACGTGTCCAGCGGTGGCAGCCACCGAGCGCGTGACCGGCCGCGCCGAGCCCGGCTCGGCGGCGGGATGCGTCCTGATGTGTGTCGACTGGGGCCGTGACCGGCGCCCCGGCTCGCGGATGCGCGGAGCGTCGCCACGCCGCCCGCCCGCCCGCCCGCGCGCGCCGCCGCCCGACGCCAACGCTAGGTAGACGCCAACGCATCTGGTAAATCAGGACGTCCGAGCACGTTCGGATAGTACTGGCCGTTAGGGGCGTTTCGTTATGTTCTAGCTTTTCAGAGCGGAGCTATTTGAATTTCTGGAACCCAGCGCATGCGTGTATATTTTTGTATTATTTCTACACGTTTGTAATTCTCTAGCCAACATTCGCATCATGCGGTTATCAATGTTACTAATACTGACCACTTCTCTGAGGACAAAAATTGCATGCGTACTTCTGGTGTTGTCTCCAATTCAAATCAATTTTGGAACTATAGTGTAATAAATGTGCAATTCATTATCTTCGTGCAGGCAACTGCCCTATTTCATATCTGCGCTGTTTCAACAACCTAAATTGCGCCTTGCGTACTATTTTTCTACTAGTAAATTGCGTCTCCCCTTTTGCTGATGAGACGTGGATTACCCTTGACAGAGCTTCGACTAGCCAATGCCTTTCCTCCAGTGTCCCCACCACTCTGCGCGTGACCGAAGTGAGGGCTGCTGGGGACTCGTCTGCGCATAGATTAAATCAGCTCTCACAACAGGCAGACTTATGCCCACTGCTCTGAGGAGACTGTCCGTCTCTGCTCGCCAGAAGCACCCGCCCGGTACTAGCCGAGCCGACCCAGTGCCGTTCTCGGCGCAGGTGGGCCGCGGTGCGCCACGCGCCAGGCACCGACGAAGGCCGAGCTTCTGTCCTCGACAAGCCTATCCTAAAGCGTTCGCTAACCCGTTAACCCATCTTCAGTTTCAGGCCGTTTCTTGGTAAGATCGCTTTAATTAGGTGTAGTGTCTGTGATGCGTCTTGTGCGTAGTTATAGTTAAAAGTTAATCCAATAAAGGCTTGTTATGTTGCCGCTTTGGACTTTTTTCGAATCTCGCCCAGATGTCTTGCGAAGGCGCCTTGGACAGCAGCGATAAGTGAAGATGCGCAATAGTGTATGCACATATCCGATACATGCACCCGTCGTCACTCTGGGACGTGCGCTTGGTCTACAAAAAATTGAGGATTCTTTTGGGCGGGATACCACGAAGTTGCTTGACTCGTCGCAGATCAAATTAAATGACGGTTCGGCCCTGTATTGACACGGCTGGAATGATTCGTTCGTGTCAAACCGTCATTTTTTTCCTATTGCAGTCGCGTCTCGTTGATGTCAAAATGTCTTATGGGCCGTCTTCTGATGGTCAGATCTAGTCACATGATGGTCAGTTGACGGAAGCTGGTCTGGACGGGATATTTCCCGAAACTAATGACACCAGTACTGAATCGCAGCCTTTTGAACGCATCTCGCGCACGCCGCCAGGCTTGTTTTTCCATTTCAATGAGTGTTGAATTGGTACAGTGGATATCCTAGTTGAAGACGTCTCAAAATAGCTGAAGGATTTACTTGATTGGACATGTACCGTCTTGATGTTCTTCCACGGTGGTCAAGTGCTGGCACATTTCAAAGTTGATCTCGGTATCATGCAGATGTCTTGTTCTTAGTGATGATTCTTCAACCTAAGCCAACGCCGCGCACCTGGTCATCCTGAGGAGCCGAGCGACCCAAGCGAAGAGCGATTATACGCCTCTGGCAATGGCTTGGCAGTGTAGTCATCTGGTGGTTAGCGGCATTTTTGTTTTCGTGGAACATCGGCCACGCTCACGCGTAAAGGAAGGTCTCTGGGCTCCACACAGCCTGCATGCTCCGGCGCATGCGCCAGTTAGCACAGCGGCTCATTTGTTTGAGCAGTGAGCGGCAGACGCGACCAGAACCACATACCGTGTGCGCGCGCGACGGCGACGACGCCGAACCGCTGGTGTTCTGCCGACACGCAGATGCGCTGACCATGAGCTCGCAGCGACATCTGTGTATGAAGGGTAGCAACACGGCCCCAGCTGGTGTGCACGCGGTGAAAGCTGGCTGGCACCGAGAGGAGCCCGCTGTGCAGCAGCGATTTACATTCAGCTGCGCTTACCGGGACTGGTGACTGCTGCGCGGTTACATATGTGGCCGGGCGCAGAGGCGAAATTGCGTTTTTGGCTCAACAGGTGACGTCGCCCCCACTGTCTGTTCTGAGTAGCCGTACTTCGCAGTGCATCTATTGCCTGACGGTTCTCATATGGGAGAGGGGTTTTGTCATTTGACTTATTTTACTATTTTTGCTCGAGTTTTCTGCATTTGTGTGCGACTTGTCTTGTTACTATTTCGTGGCGACACTATATATATATATATATATATATATATATATATATATATATATATATATATATATATATCGGTATATATATATATATATATATATATATATATATATCGGTATATATATATAATATATATAGTTCTGGTGTAATTATATATAATATACTATACTATATAATGTATATAGTTATGTAATAAATATATATGGTTATGTATAATGTAACTATATAATATATATAGTTCTGGTGTAATTGCTTGTTAGTCTGCATTCCCTTTATATATATACATATATATATATATATATATATATATATATATATATATATATATATATATATATCTATATATATATGCATGCAAATAAGCTTGTAATCTACGTCCCTCCTTTCCGTTCTGGTGTAATTGCTTGTTAGTCTGCATTCCCTTTATGACGAGCTGGACTCGCGTCCGTCATTGATTTTTGTTCGTGGGAAAATGCCGATTGGCTTCATACATTTTTCATGGAGGCTCGCGTTCACTCGTGCTGCGCAGTAATCAGTCGCAGCGTCTTCCCATCGCGTCTTCGCTCGAGCCGCGAACGCCCTGAACGAATGGATCCTTCCAATTACCACCTGTGCTCGTCGTCCCTTCCATGCCCCGCGGCAAGGCTGTCGCATACCCATCCGCGCATATGTGGGGAATGCGGTCAAGCCTGCAACGTGTCGGTGCATAGCAACTTCTCAAGCGTCCCGCCCTCGCGCCGCGGGCTTGCGAGTGTCCGGGATGACTGAGATGTTACGGCTCCAGGGTCGGCGTCTCGCGCTGCACCGGTCGCCCCGCCCCAGCGGAAGCCGCCGGGCCGCCCTCCGCGCCGCCGGCGCCGCAGAACGACCAGACCGTCTGCTCGTTACGCGGTCCACGGGGCGACCTTGGGGCGTGTGCTGAATTCATCGGCCGTAGTTCCCGGCCTGCGGCGGCTGGAGCGGCCCGCCGGCGCCCGCCCGGCTGGGGCTGCTGCACAGCGGGCCGCCGGCGGCGCCGCACCATCCACCCGCCTCCCCCACGAGCGGATGCCTCGCCGAATGCCAGCTGCCGTATCAAACGACCGTGCACCGCTCATAACTCAATCGGAGACTGGACGTCGGGCCGCTGCAGTGGAACGCTAGCTGTGCGTGGGCCGTGGAGTTAGCTCTGCAAGGCCAGACGGCGCTGACACCATCCGGTGGTATTTTGCTCACGTTGGAGGCTGACCTCCAGGGTCCGGGCCGGCCGCAGCCGAGTCTGAGTCGCGTTACCCGCGGCTAGGGGGCCGTTCACACCCGGGGTGATAGATACCGGTTCGTGCCAACCCGTCCCGGCAGGGATCTCGTGCTCCCAGTGACGGTGAGTACCTCTACATCAGATGATCTGTTGGCCTACAGCGCTGGAGTGACGTGCCCACGGCTCTAAGCAACACCGGGAGCCTCACGTGGGCGGATCGCCCATGGTATGCTCGGTGAGCGGGCGGATCGGACCGGTCACATTCCAACGTCCCGCGCGCGTGGCGCGCGGTACGCGCGTCACAGTGTGCGAAACCTGGCGATCCGATCCGGGCGCTGAGCTCAACGGTATTATGACACATGGTATGACGCATGACGCGTGCAGACCCATGACAAGCCACGAGTTTTCATTAGACCACAAAAGTATCTGGCCAGGGACTTTGTCAAGGGCGTACCGGGTGCCTGACTCTCGACAGTCGCGAGAGAACACGCCCAGTGTCCAGTGAGCTGCACAGCGTTCACCGGCTCCACAGCCGTCATGGCTGCGCGTGGACCAGCGACCCAGCTGCGGCAGCGGTGGCGACCGAGGTAAGCAAGCACATCTTTCTTGCGAGGAATCTGTTGGCAGTACAGTTGGAGCTTGACGCGATAAGCTGGTGTGCCAAAGCCGCTGGGGCGAGTACGTTTCCATGTCAAGCTGTCAAAATCATGCTACGTGTAATGAAGAATGGCGAGACAGCTGTCAAACCAGTCATACTCCAGTGTTCTCCACCTGCCGCTGGTGGTATGGCATGGTGCCGCCGGCGTACGATACAAGGCAGACTTCACAACTCGGGGAGTCTTCTGACTGTTCGCCCACACGGCATCGGTGTTGCGGGCTCGTAAACCACGGCGCGCAAACAAAGACCGTAGACCCTCGAGCGGGCGCAGGACATCTGTGACACCCGAGAGTGCGCCAGTGGGCCCTGGTTTTCATCGTCGCCATTACTTATACGGAGTGTTATGTTTTACTATTAATCAAGTCGCATTCCCTGAAGCACCGAGAACACATCAGAAATATCGAGGTCAGAAACTTGCACTCGCGAGAGGTGGGGTGCGAGAACAGCGCCTATGGAGTTCATGAATACCATGGGACTATCCGCAGTTCTTCCCAAGAAACGGTGGGCTAATACTGAGATTTGCCGAACTGGAGGGGGGTGGGGGGTTGCGACACCCTGCTCCCGCCTCCTGCACCTTTATGATAGGTGGCCAGTAAAAGTCCAGCGCTTCCAAGTTCTAATTTGTTTATATGTATTGAAGGTAACATGCGTGACGTCATAATATTGTATCACATCTCCGGGAGCTGTACTGCTTTGAGACCTTCCGCCACAGAATTTAGCGCAGTTCGTGGGGCCGTCGCGGTTGTGTGGGGTGGATGGCGGCTTTCTTCACCTTCGTTTTGCCGGAATATTGTCTTCCACCCAAATGAAAATGTCACAGTGAAAAAGTTATATTTAAAAGGTATGTTTTCCTATATTTGGGCTGCGTGGTGCGCGTGTTATGGCTGTGCGCAATAGAAGCATGGGGCTGTAATTGTCGCAATTGTCGCAAGCATCTAACATTGGATGTGGTAGTGCCACTTTTAGGTAGGCTGTGAGTGAATAGACCTCAGCCTTTGTCATTTCAATTGGAGGGGCATACTTCATCATTTTCAATTGATGATGGCTTCTGTGGATTGTTTGGTATGTCCAAAACTTACGTATGTTGAGCTGTTTTTAGTTAAGTTAGTTATATGTATCATATTACAGATATTCTCTACCAATATCACATATTTTTCAGCATTGTTCATGTTTAACACACTATGTGCTATGGCTTCACATACATTTGTACAGGAGGCATGAGAGCAATGTCAGAGGGACAAGCTTGCACATGACTCATGCAGAACAGTACATCACAAGTGCTGCCAAGCCCATGTGTAGAAGAACTGCAGAAAGCAGTTGAAAGTGGGTGATGCATATCAGCAAACAGCAGTGGTTTGGATAAGTTAACAAGTCCAAGAAAAAATATGCTGCAAAATTGCCAATGTTGAGGATTTACTGGTCCACTGGGAGCAGTGTATACTTGCAGTGGGTGGGGCAGAGGAAGTGTATATGCATATGCATATCAATTTGTTCGATGAGAGGTTGCCAATATGACTGTGCCAGTATGTTTATTTAATGCTGATGTTCTTTGTTATATGAAACCTGTGTTTTATAAAGATTTGTGACTGCAAATACAGAAAATCCTAAAATATTGCCTAATGATGTCTCAAGGCCAGCATTTTGAAAGGGTTATATATTCCATAGGCCAAAAGTCTAGTTTATTTGGGAGATTTAGAAGAGACTGTGAAGCCCAGTTGGTAGTGCCTTTTATGATCATGTGGCATAAGTTGTGGTTTAAGAATTACTACTAAACTAGAAGTTAGTCATTTGCCTAGATAAGAATCATTCCATACTTTACAAATAATCAGAGTCTTTTTGGAAAGCTTTTAACCACTAGATAACCAGTCTGCAAATTGGCAGGCATTGGCAGGCATCAGTCAAGACCACTCAACATTGGACTATGAAGCTAATGGCAAATTTCAATTTGAATTACAGACATGCTGAAAAACAGAGGCCAGGATCAGACTCAGGTGCTCCCATGTGCAAACCATGGATCTGCCTTCTACAACCAGTTAACCAGGGCAGACACAGATAAACCAACTGCAGTGTAGGTGAATGAACTAGCCCAGACTACAGCTTGCTGACATCTGTGGCCCATAGTTGCAGAAGTAATAAATTGGAAAGCAGCAAGTGCCAGCTTTTCCAAAACCGGTAGTTTCGAGGACAAGGCACTGCGATTTAAGCTAACATAAATTGGTCTCTGGAAACTTGCATATTTCTGTGGTCAATTGCATTGGGATCATTTGTGGTCTAGTAATGGGCATCTCTCACAAAACTAAGTTACAAATGCTAATGCAGTAAGAACATTGCAAGCCCATCATGCACATGACGCAAAGGAGCTGACTGGTCACCATAAATGTCATTGATGACTTTTTGCAGGAATAGTTGTAGATTATTTGCAGCATGAATTTGCTAACACAATGAGACATGCTGTATGAACATGTAGACTGAAAAATATAGAGAAACTTTTGTTTTTTGAGATGATTGCAACTGGTCCTTTACAATATTACAGTGAAATGCATCCTTAAGGATTGGTTATATCAGAAAGGCATTGCTGGTGTGACACCAGCACATATGCATAACTAAATTTTCAAGCTAGTGTATTAAGTTATCCAACCTTTTGCCAAAATGAACTCATATTTTTCACTTTGGGCTACTTGAAGGTGGGTGGGTTCAAGTGGCTAGTAGCTACATTTATTTGTGATCAGTGTTATCAGATGGTTCGGGGTTTGGTGCCTGTTGGGTTTGAGGTTATGGGTTTGGACCTACTGTGCTTACCATTGTTATTAGGGCTTGACAAATGTCTGGGTGACCAGACCAATGTGACGTTCTCAGGTGGGTGCAATTTCTAAATTCTCTTTGGGGTGCAGTGACTAAATAGTCTCCATATGGCCATTTAATCATTGCACCTGAAGGCTCAAATCATCATCCAGGGTAGGGGAGGTGGGGAAGCATGCCCGCTGTAATGTTAACAGCTGAGGGAATTAGAGACACTAAGGTTATTGGTGGGTAGACCTGTATCTGAAGTATATTGTGCTAGTTTTGAGGTTCTTAGCTTTTGCAACTCAGGAGTGAAGTAATGTCAAACAAGGAAAAACTCCAGATTGCAATATGAATTGCCCTTAGTGGCCAGAGGTTACAGGTGCAACCACCTCTTACCTAGACACCTCTTCTAAGAAAAAGGTTGCTGGCATTCATTGCAGGCCATTGACCCTGTGTGGCCTTTAGGAGCTCAGGTTGACAAAACATGTTCAAGAGGATGTCCATTTACATTCCTGCAATAAAACTTGAAATGAGCATCAAAAAGTATGTCATCAAGCAAGTTCCCTGGTAAGAGAGTGATTTGGTTTTAATCTCGGTCTGGCCTTCATACCTGACCCGAGGTCTGAAAGTAGGTATTATCCTAAGTTCAATTGTCTTATTGTCTTAGAAGCAGTCTAGAAAATTATGTTTATTTGATGTTAGGTTGTCATGTCAAATTGAATGATTCCCTAAGAATTGCCATTGCTAACGACCATGGTCTCACTGACCTGCATAGGTCACTGACTTGACAAGGTACATCTCATTTTGGTTATACCAAAAGATTGACTATCAAACGGTATAGAGCCAGCTAGCTTCCAAAGGGCGTGGCGTAGCGGCGCGAAGTTTGACGCCGCCACGCCACGCCATTCGGAGATTGTTTTGGCAAAATTCGGGGGGGGGGGGGGGGGGTAAATTGACCGCTCACCCGAGCATGTGTAAAATGCGTGTTATCGTCAAATGCTTTGGCCCTTTTTCTTTATGTGAATAGTCTTGGAGACTTAGCTGCATTACATCTAAAAACATTACTGGAGAAAGTGCGTTGTTTGAAAACTGTGGACGGCAATTTACGTGGCGAACTTTACCTGGATGCAGTCTGTCACGATGAATCGTGTGACACCACAGATAAATTTTTGTCATATGCCTGTCGGCCACTATGACTGACTCCGTGCGAACGCACCAGTTCCGATGGATGGGGGCCGTGACCCCGATCCGGCGGTAGGTGGTCAACTGCATCATAGCTGAGGCGAGTTATGGCATTGCTGTCCGAATGATTTTTTCCTGCTTTCCCACGTTGGCCAGACCTTTTAAGACATCGCAAGGAGCACTTCGTGATGAAGCTTTTTTAGGTTTAATCTGATTGAGCCAAAATTTTGAAGACTTTTGGTCCAGAACAAAAACAGCATGACATGATGGAGCGTTTGCCACGGGCGGCATGCTGAGGCAGGGCAGCAGACGCACAGTGTCACACTGCGGACCTTTTGGCGCCAGAGCTCCCAGTAATGTCACATGCCAACATGAGGCCTGTTATTGTGAACCAGGTAAACCTTTTGTCAAGAACACGAAAAGTACCAGCGGGGCCCAGCCCCAACATTTCTGTTGGATTACGCGTCGCCGATGGTGCACGCGCTACGTTCACAGTTTTGCGTCCTCGCCATGCCTGATAGGGCCGCAGTGTGCCATATCAGGCTATATCAGGAGCAGGGGTCAGGATCAGCATCGTCCAACCATGGATCGTCCCATGCCTTTCAGTGCGTGTAAAGATGATGCTAGTGTTAGTGTCGCGTTTAGGCAACCCCGGTAGAAAAAAAACAAGCTGTGGTGTATAGGCGAATGTATTACCCACAAATCACCGAGCGGTCGTGACGCCGTCGGACCCATCGATGATTGGCGTGCCTGTAATCGGCCGGACCCCGGCCAATGACACCTTTTTGGAAAACGTTCCTGGATGTGGCGTGCTGTGGTGTAAGCCGAGCGAGAGGCCGAGTCATGAGAAGTTAACAGACGTGCGGTACAGCTCAATGTAGCCGCGGTATGCACCCGGTGTGTAGACGTGCGGCACAGCTCACTCTAGCCGCGGTATGCACCCGGTATGTTCGCGTTTCTTTCTGGATACTTTGGATCGCAGTTGGGAGCGCGAGAGCTTAACATGGCGGATTTCCTTTGCTGCGGAATGCTTACAAAAGGCGGAAACTTCGTTGCGTCGTTAGGCCTGTTGGTACGGGCTCCCAAAGTCACCTACGGCCGCATGGTTAGGTCTCAGTATCGCCTGACTGCTGATAACGCACACGTCCGTGTTCACTTCTTGCACGACACACCGCACAAGCCATCGTGCCGGTGTTACGGATGGAACAATGGTTCGGACTATCGTCATTATCTGCTGTGTTAGTGTGCACACGACTTTTCGGCTAGTTCACTCTCCGGCTGTCGTCAGGTGTGGCTGATTCCTGAGAAGGACTGGATGATGCGAATGATGAATCTGTTGTCTGTTTTACGAGCCAGCAATTAACTACAGCATAGCATGGTGCTGTTTTTCCTTACCTCTGTCTGCCGTGTTGATTACGGTCAGCGAATTTGGACGTGTGTTCAGACGGTGAAGGTCTTTCGTAGCTAACCTGGCGGCATCTCTCCTTTGCAGTCGGGCATGTATCTCTTACAAAATGGACAGGAGTCGCTCCTCCCATGACAGTGAGTCCAAAGAGCACGAGCGGCCGTCTTCAGTGCGCATCAAAGACGCGTCGAGGAAGGAGAACTCCAGCATTCCCGTGCGCAACAGCCAGAATGGTGCAATGAGCAAGCTCCGCCAGACCGGCGCCCGACTGCTGCAGAAGACCGGGCAGAAGGTGGGCCACAAGGACGAGCCGCCGGACGCCGGCGACGCGGCCCCGTCGCCGTCGGCGGCCGGCTCGGGCCGCGGCCGCGAGCGCGTCGACATGGGCTCCAACAGCAGCATCAACAGCGCGCCGGCCAAGAAGGAGCGGCTGCGCGCGCGCAAGAGCGCCACGCCACAGCCCGAGGCCAAGGCGATCCGGCCGGCGCTGAAGAAGCGCTCCATCAGCATGGACGCGGCGGCGGCGGCGGCGCCGGGCGGCGCGCCCGGCTCGCGCCGGCCGGCGGAGCGGCCGCACGAGCCCGCGGCCAGCGCCAACGGCGACGGCGCGGCAGCCGGCACGCCGGGCTCGAAGGCGGCGCGGCCGTCGGCCGTGCGGCACCGCGACCGCGGCCGTCTGGACGTCGGCAAGGTGAGCTTCGCGCCGCAGATCGAGTGGCTGGCGCCGAGCGAGGAGTTCGCCGAGAAGGCCGAGACCGAGCTGGTGAAGGAGACGGCCGGCCCCGGCCTCGAGGAGTCCAGCCGCCAGGCGGCCAGCATGCGCAAACTGGAGGAGGAGAACGAGTCGCTGCGGCGCGCCATCGAGAACTACCGCGAGCGCGACCGCTCGGCGCGTGGCAGCGTGGACGCCTCGGGCGGCGAGCGGCGCTCGGAGCGGGCGCCGGCGGCGTCGCGCGAGCTCGAGGACGCCGAGGACGGCGAGGAGGACGAGGTGGAGAAGGCCGTCGAGGCCTCGCCAAACGGTACCTTCCTCAAGTTCGACGAGGAAATCGGTCGCGGCAGCTTCAAGACCGTCTACAAAGGCCTGGACGCCACCACCGGCGTGTTCGTCGCCTGGTGCGAGCTGCAGGTGAGGGGACGCGCCGGCGGGCCCGTCCCATGCCCGCGTGCAGGGGCGCTCAGCGACCTGTTGGATATGTATGGGAGGTGACTGTATGTATGGGTGGGGGCAGACATGACAGGCTGCCGCCGTTCGGTAGCAATTAATCACTCAGGCCGCAAGTGTGCGGGAGCAGCTGTATAAAGAGTGTCGGCTACAATTTTTCGCATGTGTTTCAGTCCCTGATCTCGCCATGTATTGTGAGGGACACTAGCCGCTTCCGTTCTGTTCTGCATAGCTGAATTACGTTGGTCTACGGAATACGGAATTACGTCGGCATAGCTTGACACTGAATTACGTCGGTCTTATGACGGTTTATATCGGTAGTTATTTGCTTAGTCGTGGGTAAATCCGTCGTTTCACAGCTGCTGCGATGCTTGGCTTTTTACTACCTTCAAGTGCGGGTGTGCCCGTGTGTGAAGCGGAGGATAGGAACTTGATGAAAAGACAGACGTCGTAAATCGTAAGCGCATTGTCACATCACGTACTCGTACCAAGTGCGTCGATAATATCGCGTCAGCGTAGCGCAAATGCGACACTGACGGTCTGTTCGCCACTCACGCACTTATATGAGCAAGCTCTACTTCGTTGGATGTTGGTAGCTGTGCTATTCACCTCAAACACCATGCACAAGACGTTACAAAGATGTTTCCAAAGTCATCTAGCGCCCAAAACTATATATATGTATAATGGATAGGTCACATAAGTGTGTTTACATATGGACTGCGTGAACCCGCTGTTAGTTGTGATCGCTGCACAGTCGGGGTGATCACGAGGCTTTCTGTCGTCAGATGAGCGGCAATCGTCTGAGCAAGAAGGAGCGCGACCGGTTCCGGGAGGAGGCCGACCTGATGAAGGGCCTGACGCACCCCAACATCGTCCGCTTCTTCGACTACTGGGAGGTGGACAAGCCGCGGCGACGCTGCATTGTACTGGTGACCGAGCTGATGACGTCTGGCACGCTCAGGACGTGAGTACGACCGGCGGACGGCGTCGCGATGGCAGCCGAGCTGTCGCTTTATGGCCGGCGGGTGCCTCGGACGCGGCGTCTGTTTTGAAACGATGGCCTGCCTTGGAATGGTGGTGATATTTTTTGTTGGTGAGAGATTTGCAGTCGTTTTCCTTTTTTGTGCGGACGTTACGTGTGAGGCACATCAACTGACATGATGTGTCGAAGAGCTAGAACCACATTATAGCGTTATGTCGTAATCAGAAGTGTTCTGTAAGTTGCTTTGCAAGAAGGTCTTGTTTTTGTCGAAGTCTTGAAAAAACTCTGTCATCGAGGACCTTATCAGTAACATCGACCTGAGTGACGGCTCATTTCCCTCGCTCTTATGTTCAGCGTGCTTTTGGTCTCGAGGGCGGCGCGCAAGAGGCAGCAGATGTTTCGATCCCCTCATTCAGAGCGCCCATTTCAGCTAAATGTTGATTAATGTGACGGAAGGCATGCCTTCTTTTCCAGATATCTGAAGAACTTCGGCCAGAGGAAAGTCTCTCTCAAGATCATCAAGTCTTGGTGTCGTCAGATACTGAGAGGTTTACAGTTCCTGCACTCGCGAAACCCGCCCATCATCCACAGGGACCTCAAATGTGATAACATTTTCATATCGGGTACCACAGGCCAGGTCAAGGTGGGCGACCTGGGGCTCGCCACGCTCAAGAATAGGTCGTTTGCGAAGTCTGTTATAGGTGAGTCCCGCGGACAGCACGAGTTCGTGCGGCTGCCCCAGCCAATAGCCGGGATTGCCGCGGCCAGTAATGGATCGCGAGTTTCGCTTGATCGCTATGTAACCGGAATGCGTCTGCGCCTGATTTATGACCGGCGAGCGGCGTGGCTTTGTGTCAGCTGATGAGATCTGGTCGCTCTACCGGCGGTGCGAGCCGAGCGATCGCGGCAGTAGGAAATGCTGCGGGCCCGGCGCTCGTTTGGAGGGGGTGTTTTTGGCCAATCCGCTTTCACGTTCGTCGGTGTCCCCTGCGCCTGCTGTCCGCCCCTCTACGTCAGGCCAGCTGGGGTCTGCGAATAGCCACCCAGCGTCTCCGTCAGCTGTCCCGTCCCGCCCACCCAGTGTCTCCGCCAGCTGCCCCGCCCCGCTCACCCGGCGCGGCCGTCAGCTGCCCCGCCCACCCCGCCCACCCAGCGTCTCCGTCAACCGCCGCGCCTCGCCCATCCAGCGTCTCCGTCAGCCGCCCCGCTCGGCCGGCAGGCACGCCCGAGTTTATGGCCCCGGAGGTGTACGAGGAGCACTACGACGAAGCGGTGGACGTTTACGCCTTCGGCATGTGCATGCTGGAGATGCTGACGTCCGAGTACCCGTACTCGGAGTGTACGGGGCCGGCGCAGATCTACAAGAAGGTCATCACGGTGAGTGGGGCACGGCCCGCCGTCACCGGTGTAGGGAACGCCGGAGGGCTTGCGTCGCTCGGTCCGGACCGGCCGCTCCGACAGAGAGCACATGTGTCGTGTGCGCGGATAGCTTTACTTTTGAGACATGCGAAGCAGGCGATGTTGGGTGTGTCCGTGGTTAAGCTGGACTTGGGGCTGAAGCGTGGGCATGTGCGTGCCGCGCCAGCGGCCCGTCGCCTGCCGCGGCCGTCGTGTCGGCGTCGCCCCGCGTGTAGTGCGGTGGCCGCCCTCACCGGCCGGCGCTTCGCTCCCAGGGCATCAAGCCGTCCAGCTTCGAGAAGATCGACGACCCGCAGCTGAAGGAGCTGATCGAGTGGTGCACGCGGCTGCACAAGCTGGAGCGGCCCACCGTCAAGGAGCTGCTCAACCACGAGTTCTTCGCCGAGGACTGCGGCATGCGGCTGGACGTGGCCAACCGCGAGGAGACGGTCAGCTCGGGCGGCAGCGTGGTGGAGCTGCGCCTGCGCGTGCTCGACGCCAAGAAGCGTCGTGACAAGCACAAGGAGAACGAGGCCATCCAGTTCAACTACAATCTCAACAAGGATAACCCAGAGGAGATCGCTAAGCACATGGTGAGTGGCCGACCGGCTCGGCAGGCGTCGCGGGCAACAGCTATGCGTTGGCGACTGCCAGTCGGCCTCTATTGAGTACGTGATGCTGAAATGCTGTCCTAACGTACCATTGTTCGGTGCGTGTGTTTTGTCACATGCCTCACGGTGTGACCTTCGTCAGCTGATGACGGCAGGCTTCGTTCAGCTGGCTGGCTGCCGCCGCCAGTGTCTGCTGGCCGGGTTACGTGCTGATGTTGCGATGAGCTATCCGTCACAGCTGTGCGTAGCGACCCGTTGTAGTAAGATGGGGACGGTGTGCGCCGCCGGCAGCCTTCGTCCGTCGCGTGCCCGGTCCAGTGAGGCCCGCGCCATGCCGCAGGTGATGTCGGGCATCCTGACCGAGGAGGACGCGCGGTCGGTGGTGAAGCTCATCAGTAACCAGATCCAGAGCCTGCTGCGCGCTCGTGAGGAGAAACGGCGTGAGCAGAGCTCCCCAGCCGCTCCGGCGCCGGCGCCGGCCGCGGGAGCCCCGCACAGCTCGGCCTCGCTGCCGGCGCTGGGCAACGGGCAGGCGCCGGCCACTGCCCAGCAGCCGCAGCCGCCGGCTCAGCAGCCACAGTCGCAACCGCAGCCTCAGCCGCAGCCGCAGTCGCAGCTGCAGCCGCAGCCGCAGCCGCAGCCGCAGCCGCAGCCGCAGCAGCAGCCGCAGCAGCAGCCGCAGCAGCAGCCACAGCAGCAGCAGCCGCAGCAGCCGCAGCAGCCGACTCAACAGCAGCAACCACCACCACATCAGCAGCAGCAGCAGCCGTCGGACCAGCAACAGCTGCAACAGCCGGTGGGGCAGCCGCAGCAGCAGCAACACTCGCATTTCCTGCAGCCACCCCATCAGCAGCAACAGCAACAACAACAACAGCAGCAGCAGCAGCAGCAGCAGCAGCAGCAGCAGCAGCAACAGCAGCAGCAGGAGCAACAGCAGCAGCAGCTCCATCATACACATTCCGTACAGCCACAGCATTCTCAACATCCTCAGCAACAGCAGCAGCAGCAGCAACAACAACCGCAACAGCAGCAACAGCAGCCGAAGCAGGAACATCAGCAACAACAACAGCAACAGCAGCAGCAGCAGCAGCAACAACAACAACAGAAGCAGACTCAACAACCACAACTGCAACACCAGCAGCCTCAGCAGCAGCCGCCGCCGCAGCAGCAGCAGCCGTCGCCGCAGCTGGCGCCGCCGCAGCACCAGCAACAGTTGCCAGTGGCGGCGGCAGGTCCGGCGTCAGCGTTGGGCGCCAGCCAGGAAGAGCTGGCTGTGGCTCCGCCTGCCAGTGAGGGGTCACAGCAGGCGCCGGCCGCTAGTCTGGAGGTGAGAGCTCGGGTCAGGGGACGCCCAGTCGCCTCATAGGTCCCGGCTGGGCCCTCCTACCGTCCCAACGCCGTGGTGGAGGATTAGCGTTGATTTTTACATCTTCTCCGAACCTTTTGATTGGATGTCTTCGTGCGATCATCGCCCATGGTAATCAGTATTGTTGTTTAAGCCCTGGCATCGTTTTGTAGCGAAACCGTAACTCGCCGCCACGCACGGCACGGTCCGTCCCGCCCGCTGGCATCACGTGACCTTAGCGCGGCTGCCACCATCGGCCGCAGGTCATCCCATTCGGGAGCAAATGGCGCGCCTCTAAAGCCACTCGAAGCCCGTCTCGGCACTAGCGGGTGACCGGAAAGAAGGCGCTCTGACCGACTGAGCTATCGAGACGAACTACAGAGCACTCACGGCAGAATCTTTGTGCTTCAAATGCGATGTTGTTTAACGTTGATGTGGAGCTGAGGCTACTCAAAAGCGTTGATCTGTATGCGACCTGAAATGTGAGGCAAACCACGCTTGGCGTGGCGTATGCTGCCTAGCAGCGGAAGTTTAAAGCTAGAACAGCACCAGGCCGCCACTAGCCGTAAGACTTGACAGGCCTGGCTCCTTAGGCCGTGCTGGCGGATGCCATTGAAAGTGTTTCGTCTGCCGTGCAAGGGCAAACAGTTTTCTCTTAAGGCTATGTAGATAACCTCGGAAGTAAGGCACCAGGTGGAGCACGTTGCGTGTAAGTGCGGGCGTTGGTCAGCTCCCCTCGTCGTTCCATCCGGCGAACAGAGCTGGTTCGCCAGCTCGCCCCGCCCCAGCCGGGACCGGAGGTGCGACGGCGGTGCCGGCGCCGCCCCGTGCTGACCGCGGCCGCTCGCCAGGTGCTGGTGGAGGGCGTGCAGGCGTCAGACAGCGAGGCGGCCGCGACAGAGAGGAAGGAGCGCCGCAAGCCGTCGCGGCGCCGCAAGACCGGCGAACGGCTGCCCCGTCTCACCGTGCTTGAGGTGCGGTGCGGCGCGCGCGGCGTCGCGGGACGGCGCAGGTCCTGTGCCTGTCTGCCGCGGGCCACCACTCCGTCAGTGCGGCGGTCGCTGCGAGTCATGCTGCCGTCTGCGGCGCGCCTGACTGGCCAGTGAAACATGTGTGTGTGGGTGGGTTCAGTCGGAAAAGCCGTTATTGGCATCTGCAGATAGGAGAGAATGAAAGGGCACGTTTGGCGCCAGCTGAAATAAGGAAGACTTATGTGGGCGTTGGTACTCACCGAATAGGTAACTTTCCATGTAAAAGACGTCTAGTTTTTTCGACAGCAAAGTTTTATGTCCGAGCCGAGGCTTTTCGAAGTAAATGTGAGGGTCATATTTCAGCAGGTGCCTGTTAGCGGACGTGTTTGAGTCTCTGTGCTGACCCTATCACGGTTCAGGTCAGATCAGCTGAGCCCACTGCCCCAGACTAGTGACCGTTGTGACATGCGGCAGGTGAAGGGCAGCGACAACGGCCCGGTGGTGTCCTGCCTGCTGGAGACCAACCAGTCGCAGGCGATCACATTCAAGTTCGATCTGCGCGAGGCGGACGTGTCGGCCATCTCCTACAAAATGGTGAGCGCCTCGTGACCAGTGTACGCCACGCACGCCGCGGGCTGCTGGGCGCAGGGCTCCAGGTCACAGTTTTACTGACCGTTAGGAGACTCCCGTTACGCGGAGTCTCCCGACTCCCGGGTGGCTCGTGTGTGGCGGCGTGACGAGTCTCCGAACGTGGCCGCTGACTTGCAGATGGTGAAACACACTGGCGCGCGGCCTGTGCGTGACGCGTGGCGCCTCCCGCAGACCGAGGCGCACCTGCTGCCGCGCGACGACGCCCAGTACTTCGAGGAGCAGCTGCACGCTATCATCCGCCAGCGGCTGGAGCTGGAGTCCGGCGGCGGCGGCGGCGGCGGCGGTGGTGGTGGTGGTGGTGGTGGTCTGCACCGGCGCCAGCCCTCCTACGACGATGAGCAGGTGGGTGCGCGCGCCGCCGGCCGGCCGGCCGCCTCCGTCCTCCGCCGCCGCCGCGCCGCGCCCCGCCCCGCCCTGCGTAACGCGCCGTGTGCGTGTGCTCGTGTCCGGCAGAGGCAGGAGCCGTCGCGCCGCTCAGCCAGCGGCAGCCGCCTGAGTTCGGTGGGCGGGGACTCGCCGCACCGCCGGCCGCCGGAGCCGCCGCCGGCCGCCCAGGTAGCGCCCGCCGCCGCCGCCGTGCCGTACCTGCCCGTGGCCGACGGCTCGTACCCGGTACTACTGCAGGCTGAGCACGGCCTGCAGATCGTGTCCCTGACGCCGCAGCAGCTGACAGCGCTGCTGCAGCGCGCCGCGCCGCCGCCGCCGCCGCCGCCGGCCGCGCCCGGCACCGCCCTGTACCCGGCGGCGGCCGAGGGCGGCCGTGTGCCGCCGCCGGCGCCGCCGCAGGTGGGCGAGCCGCTGGCCGCCGTCCCCGCCGCCTCCCACCCGGCTGCACCGGTCCACTCCCACCCGGCCGCCTCCGCGGTGCCGCACGTCATGGCCGTCCCCGGCATTGCCATGTCCCACGTGGCGGCTCCCGGGGTGTCTCCCATGGCAGCTCCTGGGGTGTCGCACATGACAGCTCCTGGGGTGTCCCACATGACAGCTCCTGGAGTGTCGCACATGGCAGCTCCCGTTGTCTCCCACGGACCGACTCCAGGCATGTCGATGCCCCACATGACAGTTCCCGTTGTCTCTCACATGACTGCTCCCGTTGTCTCCCAAGGACCGACTCCAGGCATGTCGATGCCCCACATGACAGTTCCCGTTGTCTCCCACATGACAGCTCCTGTTGTCTCCCACGGACCGACTCCAGGCATGTCGATGTCCCACATGACAGCTCCTGTAGTGTCGCACATGACAGCTCCCGTTATCTCCCACGGACCGACTCCAGGCATGTCGATGCCCCACATGACAGCTCCTGTAGTGTCGCACATGACAGCTCCCGTTATCTCCCACGGACCGACTCCAGGCATGTCGATGCCCCACATGACTGCTCCCGCCGGCTCCTACATTGCTGTTCCGGGGACGGGCCACATGAGTGCCCCAGGCGTTCCAATCCCGACCACGTCCAGTGCGGCCGTGTCGAGCTGTCCGCACCTGACGGCGACCGTCCCGGCGTCGTCGCACCCGCCCACTCCGGTGTTGTCGCCGGAGCCTGGCGCGGGGGCGCCCCTCGCCACGGGGCCAGTCTTTCCCGCGGTGGCGGGCCACCCGACCGCCGTCAGCGCCGCGATGGTCCGCGCTGCGGCCACGCCCTCCGTGGCGGCGTCTCAGCGGCCGCCGTGCCCGCCAGCGGCGTCCCATCCGGTCACGCTCCGGACGGGGACCGGCGCCCCGCCGCCGTCCGTCCCTCACGCACCGCTGCCGGCGTCCTGGTCCCAGCCGTGCCCGCAGCCGGCCGCCGAGCCGCCGGCCCCGGCGCCGGCGGGCCAGCCGCCCGACCCCGGCCAGCCGCACTTCGCCCGGCACCCCGTCCCAGCCGACGCTGCACCGCCGCCGCCGCTGCCCGCGCAGCCGCCGCAACAGCCGCAGCCGCAGCAGCAGCCGGTGGAGGGCGGAGCGCAGCGGCCGGTAGAGCCGCCGGCGGAGTCGGCCGCCGACCCCAGTCTCGAGGCGCCCCCTGCGGCCGACGCCGCGGCCGCCGTCGCCGAGGTAGGTGGCGCTGCGTCGCCTGCCTGCTTGTCGGTGCCCTTCGGAGTCGCGCGGACGCCCTGCTTGCCACCCGGGCCGGCCGCGCGCCCGCCGTTCGGTGTTCGGTTCGCCTGCACCCCCGCGCCTGTGGCCGTCTGTGCCCTCCCGACCTGGCTCGCCGCGCGCTGCGGTGGTATGCTCCGGCGGCCGTGGAGCCGCCGCTGCCTGTCGGGGACGCGGGTCTTTCGCTGGCTTCTGTTACGGGCGCCGATGTGGGACACCGCACCGCCCCGGGCTCGGCTCTTGCGGATGGCTGCAGAATCTTGGGAGCAGGATCTTTCGTGCTGGACGACCTTTTCGTCGAGCATCTTGCGACGTGCTTGGATTTTGTAACGGTGTGTTTTGTTAGCGAGGATTCTGGTGTTGCAATAATTTTCGGAAGCGTTTATTGAGGTGGGCCTGAGTTGTTAGTGACTTGTTTGCCACTGCAGTTGGTCTCATGGCGGAATGGAGTGATTCTTTTAAGCTCTGGCCAGTAATGCGTGGCTGGAGACTGACGTTCGCGTTCTATGCGTGACAGAGGCAGGTCGTGTACCGGCTGTAGGCTAGTGTGCTAGCTGGTGATGCCTAGCGTATGCGCCTAGCTGTTTTGTCTTGAATGTACAAAGCTGTACTTTGTCTTAGGCGTAGACCATCTAGACTGCCTGGGTGATTATGTTGCGTTTAGTTTGAGTGCATTGCTTGTACATGCTGGGGTATGTATTTATTTGCCACATGATCGTGTCCTTGGTTCAGATGTGCTGGTGTATTACTTGTGATACTCTGCTTGGGATGGTCCTGCTTCCGTTTCTACTTCCCTCTTCGTTCTCATGCATCGGTGCTGGCATACACACCCTTCTGCGCCGGCCCGCCTGCTCACTCAGAGATGGTGCCGGCGACAGGAGCGCCATCTGCCGCAGCGCTCGCGCCTAATGACTGATGATGGATTGCGTGTCGCCTGACCCCGCGGGCCGCGCGCCGGGGATGGCCGCCCGGTCGCCTCTGACCGAGCGCCGGCGTCGCGCGGCCGTGCTCCTCCGGCGCGGCGTCGGAGGAGCACGGCCGGGAGACCACGGCCGCGCGGTCATGGCGGCCACGTCCGGCGCCGGCCGCCTCTCCAGCTCAGGGGAGGGCAGTGTTGCGTGGCGAGCGGGCCACCGTCGGCGCACCGGCGCCAGTGCGGTGGGCCGCTCCTGGGTGGGCCGCCGACCTGGCTGTCCCGTCAGCACCGCCCGCTCGTCCTCGTACGTCCGACCCCTCGTCTGACCTTCCCTCCAGCGCGCCGTCCCAGCCCGCCTCCTGGTCCGGCGCTGCTGGCGCCCCTGCCGATGCTCCTGGCCCAGTGTGCCGCTGTCCACACGCCCCACGCTCCGCCCCTCTGACGCTCGGCCCGGCCGGCCCGCCGAGCCCGAGGTGACTGACGGCGGACTGTGTGTCTGTGCCGCAGGGTCCGCGCCGACGCCTGTCGCGGTTCGTGGTCAGCTCGGTGGCGCAGACCGTGGCTCCCGTCAGTCCGCTCTCCTCGCCACACTCGCCCAGCGCCGACCAGGTACGACGGCTGGACGGCGGCCGACGCCGGACGGCGTGACGTGCCCGGCCCTGCTGTCGACACGTGTTGTGGCGACTACTCGTGATTGGTTCGTCCCCTGAGCAGTGGTATCTGTTGACAGGCACAGCTGGCTCGGTGTGTGTTGTCCTCCCCCCCCCCCCCCCTGCGTCGAATGATCGGTGCGCCTCAGCCGCCCCAGTCGCGGAGTGTGCAGCTGCCCCGTCCGCGCTGTGAGAGGACTGCCAGGATGTTCTGACCGGCCGGCCGTTGTGTTTCAGCCGGCGCCGCCGGCGGACGGCAGCGGCGTCTCCTCGGCGCCGCCCGTGCTGGCCGGCCGGTTCTCCATCACGGTGACCACGCCTCCGAGCTCGGCTGGCGCCGTGCCGGCCACCGGTGCGCCGCCCGGCGCCGGCGGCGCTCCGGCCGGGCCGGCGTCGGCCTCCTCCGGCGGCGCAGCGCCGACGGCGGCCGTCACGCAGACCGTCAGCGCCACGCGCGCGCCCATCTCACACGCTCACTCGGCCGCCGAGCAGCCGCCGTCGCTGACTCCGGCTGCGGCCCCGGCTCCGGCTCCGGCTCCGGCTTCGGTTTCGGTTTCGGTTTCGGCTTCGGCTTTGGCTTCGGCTGCGACTCTGGCTCCAGCTCCGGCTACGACTCCGGTTCCGGCTCCGATTCCGATCCCCGTTCCGACTCTGGCTCCGGCTCCGGCTCCGACTCCTGCTCTTGCTCATGCTCTGGCTCCGACTCCGACTCCGACTCCGACTCCGACTCCGTCTCTGGCTCCGACTCCGGCTTCGGCTCCGGCTCCGGCTCCGGCTCCGGCTCCAGCTCCAGCTCCAGCTCCGGCTCCGACTCCGACTCCGACTCAGACTCCGGCTTCAGGTCCCGCTATTGCTCCAGTTCCTGCTCCGGCTCCGTCTGCCGCTCCGGCTCCGTCTCCGGCTGCTGCTTCGGCTCCGGCGCCCACGCCGGTGCCGCAAGACGAGCCGGGCCTGACGCTGGCAGGCGCCTCGCCGGAGCTCTCCTTTTCACCGCAGAGCACCGAGCACAGGTGAGCACCGGCCGACGGGCTTCGGCTGGGAGGCAAAAGCCCGTCCAAGCCCCCTGTCCGCGCCGAGTTACCCGACCGACGCTTGCGGAGCCGCGAGCCGAATCCGACCATCTCTGCTGACGTACCCGCGCGTTCGCGGCCACCAGGCCCGTGTTGTCGCTCCGTCTGACCGGTGGCCGCCCACGCTGGACGCGGCGCCTGACGGGACTGTCCCCGCCGCCGGCAGCGGTGTCGGCAACCTGGAAGGGTTGCGTAAACAGCTGAGCCGTCTGACGTGCGCGGCGGCGGACGGTGCGCTGGAGGCGGCCTCGCAGCCGTCCACGCCCGTCTTCTCGGCCGTCTCGGCTGCCGACATGGCCGAGCTGAACCGCCGGCTGACCAGCATGAGCAGCGGCCAGGGCTCGGTGAGTGGGCCGCGCGGCGCCGCCCTCCGCCGCAGCGGCGCACGAGCGGCGACTAACGCGCACAGGTCCGGAGGCGAGGCGGCTGTAGTGGGCGTGACTGACGCATGTACGCGGCGCTCTGGCCGAGGAGAGGAGCTGGTGGCGGGGGCGTGACCGGGATATGCAGCTTAGCCGAGGCGGGGTGGAAAAGGTGGCGGTGGTGGTGGTAAGAGCGTAAGGCCCCCGTTGCCTGCATGTGCTTGCTTGCATTAACCTGACAAAGGTCGTGCGATCCGCAAGTTCTCCGTTTGTCACCCTGCCGCGGAGCCGACACTCCGCCCACGCCATCTGTCGGTGCAGCAGCGTGTTAACACAGGAGTCTGGCGAGTGTACGGGGGGGGGGGAAGGGGGGCGGGCTGGCTCGGAGACGTGCGGGCGGGCGAGCGCGCGGCCGCGAGACGCGCGGGTAACGCGTGCCGCCGACCCAGGAAACGCTGACGACCAGCTCACGCGCCGGCGTGCTCCGTCCCTGGAGCTGGCACTGCGACGACCCGACGACGGCCGGCACCTCGCCGCCCACTGTGCTGCTCTTCGCGCCGGTCCCGCTCGCTGTGAGTGACCCCGGCTCCGGACGCAGCGCCGGCTCCGGCTCCGGCTCCGGCTCCGGCTCCGGCTCCGGCTCCGGCTCCGGACACCTGCGCCTCATGGGCTGGCGTGTGGTCCGCCCGGGCCGCCGGCGCCCATCGGTGTTGTCGAGTTAGCGGGGCTACCGTCGGAGTCGGACAGGGACTGCTGTTTGAGTCCGCCGCGGCACTCGATGAGTTCTAGACGTCGGTCTCGACTTCTTTGTCTTGGTTTGTCCTCCTGCGGTCCTCGATCCGTGTGGGCGTGGTCTGCTTTGGTCAGTTTCTGGTCAGTTTGGTCTGCGGCAATTTTGGTAGTTTCGCTTGCAATGGTTTGGCTCGGTTGGGCCGACGGCTGCTGTTGCTGCTTTGGGTACGTAGATGAAGTGTTCTGGCATGGAGCCTGTCGGCTGGTGTGATCGGGGGCGCTTGTGTCTTGCTTGGCCTCCGTTCACCGATCCGCACCGCGCGCCCGTTGATTGCACATTTGCATGCGCATGACTGTGAGCTATCGCGACGTCACGTCCGCTGCTGTAAGTATGCGCACTGGGCGGACACGTCTAATGCGGATGTCGATAGGTGCACCTTATCAACAGATTGGATCGATGCCTCCGTGGTGCACGGGTGTTCGGTTGGCAAAATGAATTAAAAAATACATTTCCCAAACAGTTTGGGATTTTTGTTCACGGCTAGACGGTGACGCCGTGGTAAGTGCCTGTCGCCGCAGATCCCGCTGACTGGTTGTGCAACATACGTTCATTGAGCGACGCCCTCGGAAGGTGCGCCCTGCTCAGCGTTGCCTTGCCTGAAGGCGCTCGGACAGAGCCGACCTGACCCTACCTGACCTGATGCCGCCGGCCGCCGGCAGACGGCGTCCGTAGCGAGGAGTGCCGACCAGGACCCGGCGGCGGCGGCGGTGGCGGCGGCCCGGCTTGGCCCAGATGGCTCCACGCCGCAGCAGGTGCAGTCCCTGCAGGTCAGTGCCACCCGGCCCGGCCGGCCGCAGACTGTCCACCATGTGTGGCGTGCCGCTGTCGCGCGTGCTGTGCCGCCGTCGTGCGTGCTGTGGCGTGCCGTCCGCGCTGTGCCGCCTGGTGCTGCCCCGGTCCTTGTGGCCGGTCGCTGTGCCGCATGGCGCAGGCGTCTGCGCCTGAGCGTGCTGAGTGTCGGCAGAGGAGCTCACCCCAGGGCGGCCGTCGCCTAACGTACCGGGGATGCCTGGCGCCGGCCGCAGGCGTCCGCCAGGGGGGCCGGCCGGGAGCCGGCCGGTCCCGCCGCTGGGGTGCGTCCCTCTGCCGTCAGTCCGGCGCCGGCTGGCTTCAGCGCCCGGCGCCAGCGTACCGCGCGCTGCTGTGTTGCTGTGCTGCTGTGCTGTCCGTACTGCCCAGGCCGGTGAGGACCCCACAACCGGGCAGGCCCGGTGGCCGGCTCACCGATTGCTCCGGCTCACGTTCCCCTGTGGTCGCATAGATCATGGACAGCGCTCACGGTTTGTCCCGAAGGCAGTGCGTCCTCCACCTGTTTGTTGCACTATGTATTAGGTCCATTTTCTGGGCTCCCTTTGTAGAAAAAGTCGTAAGTCTGTGCCCAGAGCGGTCTTTTGGGTTGCTGCATTGTGGAAACTGCCTTGGTTGCTTTCCGTACAGGAATGTCGAAGGTGTCATGAGAGCCTCTTCAAACATCATATTTTATGCGAATCTGGGCGACCCTGTATGCCATAGAGCCGCGTGCAATCCATCTGATCGTAGACCCGTAGCAGTACAGACTCATGCCATGGCGGACCGCGAGGCACGGCATATTTTGGGTGAACTGGGTGTCCCGTAGCGTAGAGGACCGTTGCCAACCCGGTAGTGCGCACCAAACTAACGCAGAGTGTCTTATTAACGTGCGTTGGAGCGGCGGCGCAGGGCTGGAGACGCCCCTGGCAGCGTGCCGCCACTGCGTGCAGTGCAGCGGTGTTGCCCTGGCCGTGGCCGGCGGCCGCCTGTGTAACCGGTGCGCGTCTGGTCTGGTCCGTAGTCGACCCATTACCTGGACCTGCCGGCGGCCCCGGGCCTGATTGTCACGCCTCCTCCCACCCCACGGCGCGCGCACGCCCAGGTGACTCAGCCGGCCGGCCCGGCGCCGGCGCCGGCGCGCCGCACGCTTGCGCTTGGTGTGCGCACCCGCTGACTGTGCGCTGCTGCTTGGCCGGCGCCCGGCTGGAGACGACGCCGTGCGGCGACGGCGGTCGGCCCGCCGCGACGCTGCGGCGACTGGCGGCTGGTTCAGGGCGGCTGCCCCACAGGCGGGCCGTCTCCAGGGGCGACACGCCGGCCTGGGGCCGGCCAGCGCGACGCTAATGTCGCCGGCGCGGCGATAATCACACTAATGGCGTCCCGCGCCGCAAGCTACTTACCACTGGCGCTCGGTATGGACATCCGACATTGGTGGATGGCATCGATGTATACTAGGGCCGCTTACTACTAGTACTTAAACCACGCGTCACATAGATGTGAAATAAGTCGGATGTGGTGGCAAATGACTGCACCAGTTAACAACTGCAAACTGTAACAACTGTAAACAACTGCAACTGTACCCGTCGATGGATGATTGTAACCTGTAGGAAAGACATTTCGCACGACATTCTCTGGCGCGAGAACGTTCCTGCGCAGGCCCACACGTGTCGACGCGGATCGAGGCGACACAGATAACGGACACAGCGATCGGCGGCATAGGCGGGATCAGTCCCGATGACAACGAGAGTAGGCAGTGACGAGCGGAGCTCAGATTCGGTTTCGGCGACAATGCGGACGCGGTTTCACAGGGGCGGACCGAAGGCATGGCAGCAGATTGTGCGTCACTCGTCGGACCGTCTCCACTGGTCGTTGTAGCGTCAAGCCTGCCGCCTGCATGCTCCGATTGTTGCCTGTTAGTGCCGTCACCGCCCTCCTCCTCCGCGACGGACACGGCACGTATGCTGAGCCGCCGCACCGTGTGTCGCACTCGGAGAGCGCGCGCCGCCGGTCGTCGACATGGGCCCAGCGGCCGCGGACGAAGGGCCGCCGGGTACGGACGCATGCGGAGTATGCTGACCGTGACCCGGTCCGAATTCAGCTGAGCTCCCCCAGTGGCACAATATATGTGTTATTTCGCATCAAATGGTCAGCTTGACACCTTTAACGTGCGCTTGGACAACAGTGCTACTTCGTGTAGCGGTTTGTGGATAAGGCAGCCAACATCAGATCTGTTTCGAACGGAATTGTCACGTCATGTTGACGTCCGCAGCAGCCACCATGTTGGATTCCAATGTGTGTGAGCTTCCGATTGGCCGTCCGCGAGTCTTGCAGTCTTCAGTCGCAATGCCGTGAGTGGCCGTCTGGGATCTGTATCATGTCTCCGACCAGTCGGTGACGTCGGCTGAATGGGCGCGAGTTCGACTCGTGCGGCGCGCGCCCGACCCCGTCCGCGCCGTCCCAAGTCTGTTTAGTTGCTGCGTGCAGCACCGAATGCTCAGTCGTAGTGGATGCGTATCGAGTCTCAATGTTGACGTCTGCATGAGGGAAGCATGGCGGTCACACGCCCCAGCGAGAGAGCACTGTTGGGACGCAACTGTCGCCAGGTCGCGATGAAGATCCTCGACCTCGCGGGGAATGTGCACCCTCAGGATGATGTGCGGGATTGGTGCGAGAATGATGGGCGCACCAGGCATGTCTGGTGCGGCCGGCGCCCGAGGATCGGAGCTCGTTTGGAGCGGATTCGCCCGTCCGTCTTCGGAGAGCTTTGTGGCGGACGGTCTTGTGTTGGGGCGTGGCACTTGCGGAGTGCCTCAAGTCACAACTTACAACATGTCTTGCCGGGTGTGTCGAAGCTTGCCATTTTGTACAGTGAGCGTGTGGTGAGTGGCGCGCTTGCTGCCACCGGCCGTCGTGCGCCTGACAGCGGCAGGCCTGTGGTGGCCGCCGGTCGTCGCCGTGGGCACTGCCAGCCGCGTCTGAAGTGTACGCGCCGCCGGCCGGGCCGCGTCTGACGGCGGCCGTGTCTTGCAGCTGCCGCGGCGCCAGTCAGTCTCGCCGGTGGCCGTCGCCCGGGCTCACTGCTCCGGAGCCCGCCGCAATGTAGGCCGCGCGTGTGCCGTGTAGTGAGACCCCACCTCTGGCTGACGGAGCACCCTCACCCCGCCCCCAAGCGCAACTGCATTGGATGCCGGACCACCCGGTCACCTCACCGGACGCTCCACACTCTCTCCCCTTCAGCCCTGCCACGAACCCCGCTCGGGCGCGCTCCCGGCGCGGCTGCAGTCATGTTACGACGCTCGCTCTGACTCCGCCTCAGCCCAGCCACGTGCGTGAACAGTGGCGAGGGGCGCCGCTCCGGCCGGCGAGGCGCGGCCCCACATCAGCCCAGCCCCGGGCGTGAGCAGTGGCCAGGGGCGTCGCTCCGGCCGGCGAGGCGCGGCCCCACATCAGCCCAGCCCCGGGCGTGAGCAGTGGCCAGGGGCGCCGCCTCGGCCGGCGAGGCGCGGCCCCACATCAGCCCAGCCCCGGGCGTGAGCAGTGGCCAGGGGCGCCGCCCCGGCCGGCGAGGCGCGGCCCCACACCAGCCCAGCCCCGGGCGTGAGCAGTGGCCAGGGGCGCCGCTCCGGCCGGCGAGGCGTGACCAGGTCCCGACACTGGGAGGGGGTGGCTCACCGCCTGTGTGTGCCGCTTGGAGGGACGTGACCCAGCATGGATGACACGCCAACAGCTCGGCTGACCTGTACAGGACGGCTTCCGACGCACGGAGGGCACGCGCACTTCCAGCATCACCCTGCTCTGACGTTACTAGCACTGCATTCGCTAACGGTCATGGCACACACTCATGGCTGGTCGTCTCACAATCTTGTGCGTATCAGTGCGTAGCGTTTGTCTGGTTTGACCCGTTTCAAAGTCGCAAGCCACCCTTGCATTTTGACTGCAATCGTCTGACCTACGTCCGCGGCTCGGCGCTTGCGGCGTGGCGCGGCGCGCGGACGCCTTGCGATTCGTGTTTGACCGCCGCCCCCGGCGTCGCCAGAGCACCTCGGACGTCTCGCGCTCCGCGAGCAGCACCGAGACGGCCGGCGACCGGAGGAAGGCGCCGCCGCTGCTGCTGGCTGACCTGGAGAAGGAGCTCAACAAGCTGCACACGCGTCACCCGCTGGTAAGGACGCCCGCCTGGCCGGTGCCGGCCCGGAGCGGACACCGGTGCAGGGCGACCGCGGTGTCGCGTTCGGTGCCTGGTCTCTCCACACCGGCGGCGGCCCGGAGCGGACACCGGTGCAGGGCGACCGCGGTGTCGCGTTCGGTGCCTGGTCTCCACGCCGGCGGCGGCCCGGAGCGGACACTGGTGCAGGGCGACCGCGGCGTCGCGTTCGGTGCCTGGTCTCCACGCCGGTGGCGGCCCGGAGCGGACACTGGTGCAGGGCGACCGCGGCGTCGCGTTCGGTGCCTGGTCTCTCCACACCGGCGGCGGCCCGGAGCGGACACCGGTGCAGGGCGACCGCGGCGTCGCGTTCGGTGCCTGGTCTCTCCACACCGGCGGCGGCCCGGAGCGGACACCGGTGCAGGGCGACCGCGGCGTCGCGTTCGGTGCCTGGTCTCTCTACGCCGGCAGCGGCCCGGAGCGGACACTGGTGCAGGGCGACCGCGGCGTCGCGTTCGGTGCCTGGTCTCTCCACGCCGGCGGCGGCCCGGAGCGGACACCGGTGCGGGGCGACCTCGGTGTCGCGTTCGGTGCCTGGTCTCTCCACACCGGCGGCGGGACCGAAGGCGCGGCCGTAGCGCGCTCCGCGTGGGGCGCCTCGGCGGCAGCGCGCCGGCTGACCGGCCGCCGTCCGTTACAGCACCACGTCATGTCGACGCCGCTGCTGTCGACGCAGGACGAGGCGACGCAGTCGGAGAACGGCGCGCTGGCACAGTGGGAGACGGTCGGGCCAATCGACACCACGCACACCCAGCCCATCCAGCTGGTCAGCTTCCAGACCAACAGCGGTGCCAGCAGTGAGTCCAGCGTCCACGCACTCTGGCCCTCTTACTTTACTTTGCTACGTAACTTCGATAACTTGGCTTTTACCAACTGCCACTGACAGCGAGACTTCTGACCCTGCCTCAGCCTCTGACCTGCCGGCTCAAGTTCTCACTGTGCACACTGCTCCAGTGGATTCCGCGTTTAAGTTCGCCGATGTTCTCCACCTACCCCTGCCCCTGCCCATGACGTCACCAGCGTAAGCAGCGGTAGTGTCGCGATGGTTAGCCACCAATCAAGCACGCTCGAACATCTAGCCTTGCTGGCGTTTGCGTGTTTGGCGCCAGCGCCGGCGCGCCAGGCCGGCACTGTTGACCGGTGGGACGGCCGCCGCCGCCGCGTCTAACGCCCGGCGCCGTCCGCAGCGCCATCGTCGACGCCGGGCACGCCGGTGCGCCGCGGCCGCTTCGCCATCACGGTGAGCCGCACGTCGGTGCCGTCGCCGCCGCCGCTGCTCTCGCCCGTCAGCGAGCCGCCCGACGTCGAGCACTCGGCGCTGTTCGTCGAGCTGCTGGGCAGGTGAGCAGACTGCGGCGTGGCGCCGGGCCTGCGCGGTGCCGGACTACGCGCCGCGGAGGAGCGCGGTGCTGCCGCGGCGAGCAGTCCGGGTTTGGCTGCTCGATGAACCTAGTGGTAGCGCCCGTTGTGCTTAGGTTCAACCCAAATCGTCTTTGCCGTCGCCCGTCACGCAGCTTCTGACGCCGTGTGGTAAGTTGTGGCGGTTGATGGAATGGTGGCGCCGCTCTCTGACAGTCTGCTCTCTGTCTAAGGTGTTAAGATTCGACCTGGAGCCTCTGTTCCTCACTGCCTTATTCAGCCCCGGCCGCCGCCTCTGTCAGGCCGCGTGTCCGTGCTCCTCGTAGCATCCCGACACCACAAACGGACCGTTCCTGTTTTCGTTTCCGTCGCGCTCCTCCGTAGTGTACCCCCCCCCCCCCCCGTGTCGCTCCCTCCGTGAGCCGCGCCCCGTTCCGCTGCACCGCTCCGCGTCCGTGACGCTCCGCCGCCGCCCCGCCGGCAGGCAGCGACAGCGCATGACGGAGCTGCTGCGCCAGCAGGAGGAGGAGCGCGAGCGGCTGCGTCGCGAGCTGCTGGACCAGCTGCGCCGCCCGCCGCCGGACGACGGCTGAGAGCGCCGGCCCGGCGCGCCGCTCTAGTTCTGTTTGTTTTCTATCTCAGGGTATTGTGGAACTTGATAGCGTAGGCGCTCGTGCGCGCCGGGTCTTGGCCGTCCGGTCTGGTTCAGTCCGGTTCGGCTTGATTCAGTCCGATTCGGTCTGGTTCACTCCGGTTCCGTCTGATTTGGTCCGGTCCGGTCCGGTCCGGTCCTGTCCGGTCCGGTCCTGTCCGGTCCGGTCCTGTCCGGTCCGGTCCGGTCCGGTCCGGTCCGGTCCGGTCCGGTCCGGTCCGGTCTGGTCTGGTCTGGTCTGGTCTGGTCTGGTCTGGTCTGGTCCGAACCGAACCGAACTGTGCCGAGCCGAACCGGTCGACATTGTTACTGGTAGATAGTTTCCAACCACTTAACTATCGTGCTTTCATTGTTTTGGCGCGCGCGCGGCCCTAGTCGGTGAGCAGGGGCGGACGACGGGCGGCGACCCCGGCCGCGGCCGAGGTGCAATGCCGTGTGGGGTCGACCTTTTAGCGGGGAACGTGCGCACCGTCGCACGACACGCGGGCGCACATACGCATACACACACGCATATATATATCAGCTGCTGCGAACCCGCATCGGGCGTACGCCAGCGAAGTCGGCGGCGGCGCGGCCGGCTATTTTATACAGGTGGCTGGGCGCCGCCGGCCCGTTTGTACCGTGTAAGGTTCTTGTCTAAGCGAGCGGCCGCCGGGCCTCTGTGATTGGGGATCGAGGGGGGGGGGGGCGGGTCAGGCCCGGGCGACCCGCCCGCCGCCGGGGCCACGTGTGATGCCAGCCACCGCCCGGTCATTACGTATATGATTTCTTTGAGCTGTGTATCCAATTGCCATATATGGAGACGACATGAATGAATACAATATCCTAGGTAGGTCTGGTTTCAGTGGTCAGTGCGCAAAGCGCTTTGCTGTCCGCCTTTCCCCGGGTTATCCCGTTTTTTTTCTCACAAGGAGACCAACTGTTAATGGCTCAGTTGCCCATTGAGAGGGAACGTAAGGCAGGCCAGTTTCGTTCGGTTTGCCCCGAGGGCCGGCGCCGGAGCTGTGGTGGCGCAGTAAGGCAGTGTTCGTAGACTGTCGGTCGTTTTCCTGCTGCTATGCCTGTTTAACCCGTCTCATTTTCATTCTGGCAATATATTTTACTATCGGTCGAGTGGTGCGACGATCCACAACAGCGTATGTAGGACGGTGCGGCGATCCACGACAGCATATGTGGGACGGTGCGGCGATCCACGACAGCATATGTGGGATGGTGCGGCGATCCACGGCAGCACATGTAGGATGGTGCGGCGATCCACATCACATGTAGGACGGTGCGGCGATCCACGACAGCACATGTAGGACGGTGCGGCGATCCACGACAGCACATGTAGGACAGTGCGGCGATCCACGACAGCAGATCCACGACAGCACATGTAGGACGGTACGGCGATCCACAGCACATGTAGGACGGTGCGGCGATCCACAGCACATGTAAGATGGTGCGGCGATCCACGACAGCACATGTAGGACGGTGCGGCGATCCACGACAGCACATGTAGGACGGTGCGGCGATCCACGACAGCACATGTAGGACGGTGCGGCGATCCACGACAGCACATGTACGACGGTGCGGCGATCCACGACAGCACATGTACGACGGTGCGGCGATCCACGACAGCACATGCAGGATGGTGCGGCGATCCACGACAGCACATGTAGGACGGTGCGGCGATCCACAGCACATGTAGGACGGTGCGGCGATCCACAGCAATGTAAGATGGTGCGGCGATCCACGACAGCACATGTAGGACGGTGCGGCGATCCACGACAGCACATGTAGGACGGTGCGGCGATCCACGACAGCACATGTAGGACGGTGCGGCGATCCACGACAGCACATGTAGGATGGTGCGGCGATCCACGACAGCACATGTAGGACGGTGCGGCGATCCACGACAGCACGTAGATGGTGCGGCGATCCACGACAGCACATGTAGGACGGTGCGGCGATCCACGACAGCACATGTAGGACGGTGCGGCGATCCACGACAGCACATGTAGGATGGTGCGGCGATCCACGACAGCACGTGTAGGACGGTGCGGCGATCCACGACAGCACATGTAGGATGGTGCGGCGATCCACGACAGCACATGTAGGATGGTGCGGCGATCCACGACAGCACATGTAGGACGTTAATACATATCGCAACGCCGGGCGTGCCGTGCAAAGATTGCTGCCTTCTGAGTCCTGCTTGGATAGTCCCGCAGAAAAAGTCCGTGCAAGTTGTCCGGCGTCGGGTGATGCACCTCCGCCTCGGCCGCGTCCAGTGGTCGCCTCTCTGGCGGAGATGTTCGAGCGGCCCGCGGGGCTCGCCAGCAGCGGACTGGCGCCGTCACGTGGCCCGCGGGCTCGCCAGCGGCGGACCGGCGCTGTCACACCGACGCACCGCGCCTGTCGGCTTCCGGCTCCCGCAGCAGGTGTGCGGTGGGACATCATCGAACTCGCTGGAAAAGCGTGGCAGAAGCGCGACGCGTCGGTTGTTCCCTCTCGCATTCCAAGGTGATGAGCCGTTGGCTTCGTTGGGGTGGCCATTGTCAAATGCGACGCCATTGTCAGGTGTCTGCAACGCCACTCCTGGAATCCGTGTGTGTGTGTCATTGGGGCTTTACGACGCACTCAGCTGCTGAGCTATATGGCGTCGCCTGCCTCTCAACCTGGCAGGAGGGAGGGCACCGCGGGGAATCGAACCCCGTACCTGGTTTCCCAGACGCGCAGTAGCTAACGCAGACGCGCTAACCACTACACTACCGGCACCCTACTCCTGGAATCCAAGTGTGTTCGGATCCACCCAGCCCAATGCACAACCAACTTTTGTCGGTATTCGCATGTTCACCGTCCCCCACCGTTGAAATTAATCCGACGTGAAGCGCACTGATGATGCGTCTGGAGCCAATGAATGCGTAGCATACCTACGGCTGAAGCCGGTCATAAGGCCGTGAGAGCTGGCTCCGTATAATTTTTAATTTATTAAAAGGCACAGGAACATCACAGCCGCACCAACCGCGAATGGCATGACGGTCGGCCACGGGATCACAGCTTCCGTCGCGTCCACCAGACGGCGCCAGATGCGACACAAGCCACCGCGGTCATCACCGCCGTCCACATTGCCTCGTACAACAGCTTGGGCGAGAACACGGTCCACACGAAGATGTGGTGCACGAAGGCGGCCGACAGGCAGCAGTAGACTAGGAGGACAGCGCCGCGGAGCGTCACCAGCACGTGCAGCACGTCCGGGAAACATCTGTCAGCAGCGGGGGGGGGGGGGGGCGTCATGGTCGGACACCGGAGGACCGGGTGCCGCCCGCAGTCAAACGATCAGCGGCAGGACATCGGGCTCCTTGTGAGGACGCCCTGATCGCGGCGACAGGGACGCCACGACGGTCGGAGACGAGGACGAGCAGGCCGGCAGTGGGGGCGGTACAAGGAGAACGGTCTAAGTTGGAATCTCAATCACCGTTAATTTCACACCGACCTGAAAAACCGAAAAGTTACTTCCGCTGACTCAGAAGCTACCCGTCCTCCAGGAAGGCGCAGGAACTGCGGGTGGGGGTGGGGGGGGGTGGGTGGGGGGGGGGGGGGGGGGGGGGGGGGGTGGGGGGGGGGGGGGGGGGAGGGGGCAGAGCCCCCTCACCATTTGCTGGTAATTTCACATCGTTTCA